TTGAAGCTCACCTCTTCTTCAAGACGCTTGCGTTTGGCGTCCTCCAATTCCTCCATGGCCTTCTTCTGGGCAAACATTTCTTGTGCAATGCGCTCACGCTCCAACCACTTGCGTTCCTCCTCTTGCCTGCAATATAAAGCATGTAGAGGCATTTGCTAACCTCATTTTTTCTTCCTCCTCCGCGTCCTCATCCATCCGAGCTGCGGCCTCCTCACTAATCTCTCCTGCAATTAAAACACCTACTTAATTCTTTAAGGCAGACAACTCAGCATCAAAACAGAAAGCACAATAAAGTTTACGGCGAAAAACTAAACAAAAGGGTAGCAAAAAACACCTAACTTCGTGTCTTTGATATTGTAATTGAGACAGTTGCAAACCACGGCCCCGAAATGGCCTTTTGAACAGACCTTACAAAAACAGGCCAAAATGTCAGTCAGTGAGAGCCAATGACATATTATTTGGCAGGCAAGTGGTGTGTACACCTCCTAGAAGTTGGATTCGATTGACTTTAAACGTAGCAAATCGACTCTTTCACAAAGTGGAGTCTTTTGGGAAATCGGAAAAAATTGCTAGCATTTGGGACAAAAGAGGCTCAGTTCCAATCGTTATGCATGCTACCCGATCTGCAAATGAACAACTTCATTGCACCCAACGACTCCCTTTCGAGTTTATACATGCTTTAAAATGGGCAAGTGCACTATTTAATACGATGCCATTGTGCACGTCCGCATTTTTAAAACAGCGATGCAATGCATTGCCACCGAAATTGGCCATAGGGCTGGGAAATTAGGCGATCGTAAACGGAGAAAGCACTAGGTACGTTAAATACTACAATTATATCTAGAAACAACAACATTTAACTTTTACTGCTGCACAAATGCATAGCATAGGATCATACAATTTCGGTGGTATAAAACTCACTACAAAACAAACCACAAATAATCAAATGCGAATTGATCGTTTTGTAGACAGCTAAAACACTACAAAAATTAAAGGTGCTTTACCAACGCTCGAAACATAAAAACACATCGAATGTTTTTATATGTCAGAAAATACCATGCGATTTTAACTATACCCGCATCTTGGTTGGTCTCACGTAATTTCGCGTTTTGCTGCCTGATAGCTTTGCGTTTACTTTTCTTCCGCTGCTTTCTTTGTTGTCTGTGACTTCAACCACATTACTTTTTATCGATACAAACCTTAGGTGCGCATGTATAGACCCATTGTTCACCAAAGTGACATCCATCGAAATTTCGGTAAGCCTACAGCAATGGACAAGAAAGTCAGTCCGAACGCTGGTTTCAAGGACACTCAGACAAAAGCAGCAGCATCTGCAGCATATTTACCATTCAGTAAAAGTCAACATTAATTCAAATTAGACGTCATCGATCGCAAATGCATATAAAATTCACCTTTATAATGTATCAAAAAATTTTTTTAACTTAAAACTTTAGCATATCCGTGTGGAACCGCTCTGGTTGCAAACGTTCATGTTGTTCGTCTCCATGATATTTGCCAAAATTCTTTTTCAATGCAGTTCTAATCAATGACAATTTATCAAGTAATTCTTATAAAATTTTTTATTAGTTAATAGGTTTTTACAAAGAACCTGTTTAAATTCAAAAATAAAGTTGATGTGGAGCAAATTAAATTCAAGCAAAGATTTTGTAACATAGGATTCATGTTACTTGCTATTGGACCAGTTGTGTTACCGTATGGGCCCTTTACGTGTCCCTTAAACTACAGTCTTACTGATTTCACTGACATTGTAAATTAAATTCCTTTTTTGTGCTTTCTTCTTTCCCCTGCACTTAACCTTCTTTTAGATATTCTTCCAATGCGCACAAAATTCACAAAAAATTCATTGTGGTTTAATTTCTTAACCACAAATTTTGCACTCAACAACATTTGATTTAATGTGTTTGCACGTAATCATGCCAAGTCAACAAATATAAACTCTAAATTACTGCTAGTTTCGGTAAACGAGAACATCACTTTATGAATTTGCATACCTTGGTCGATCAAAATTATAACGCATGCGTATAAAATGCTAAAGTTTACTATTGGTGGATTGCTGTGTTGAACTAACTGTTTAGAGTCAGTAATGTGGTTCTTGCCTATCACTTCAACACATTAATTCCTAAAAATTTCTACCATTTTCTAGCAAAGGAAAGACTAAATTGGATCTGGCATTACTGGGTTAGATCATCTTCTCAAGATATAATCTTAGTAAGATCTGCCACATACTTGCCACTGTAGCATAATAAGATGTGTAATATAAGTAAATGTGTGGTTAACTAATGTCAAATTATGTCGAATGTCATTACAATGGTGAAGCTGAATCATTGTATCGAGGGCGTAGCAACCAGGTTGTCAATGAAATTTCCCACACAAATTTTCATTTAAGACATATCCTTTAATGCCTCATTTAATTTAAACAGCCAGAATTTATGCAAATCTCTGTATCATGGATTGGGTCCAGTGAGTGAGTTACGCCGATATCTAGGGCTGCTCCAATTGCCAAGATGCGCCGTCTCCGTCTCAGCCACCAGAGAGAATGCTGTCGTCACTACCATGTCCACCAGAGACCGCCTACTTGACAGCTCTTACAGGTATTCCACACTGTCTCAGTCACGGTAAGTGCCATTCAAAGTGCGACCGCCTCCGAAAACACACTGCGTCAAACCATCCGCAACGTTTAATCTGGATGGCCTATGCGTCTCCTGATAGGAAGCCTCCGGCAGTCATATTAGATAAGTAAACAGTCTTTTGATATTCGAAAAACCGTCTTTTAGTGCCTAAATCAATCCGCTGGCTAATTCTGTTCCGATTTCATTGGCCATGACATGACGTTCGCAAACAGAAAGGCTTACTGGCCATAATTAAAACAACCAATCGCGGACTTAGTCAACAGAAGACAACTCTGCTTTGCCCCAGAAATTCCAAAACGTTCCAGTCTTAAGATACGAAAGCGTATCGAGCCTTACCAGAGTCTGACGGACAAAACATGACAGAGCCTTAAAAAGACCATCAGCACTACCAGTTAAAGTCCACAATTTACTCAACATATCATGCTAGGCGAGGCACACTACACCACAACAGGCATAACAAATGTCCATGACGTCCAGGTGATCGCATTCACAGCAGTTGGCGTTCACCACTTCTTGAAGCACTCCAACACCCTCTCAATGGTGGAGTCGTCTTTGACGATACACAAACGAAGGTAGTCATCTCCGAAGGAGCTATTCGCATCGTTAAAGAAGGCTGAAAGTGGGGCGCCAGCAATGCCCTTGTTCTTCATCATCCATTCGTTGAATATGACGTCGTAGGGCCGCTTGTCGTCCTTCTCTCTCTTCGGTCCCTCTAAAGGCAACATAGCAAAAGCAGTGATATGATTGGTTTATGCATATTGTGAAGCAGAGCTAGAGCCTGATTGGTTAGGATTGTGTACGTGTGTGTGACAGACGTACCGACATTGGAGATGTTGGCAAGCATGAAGAAGCCGCCCTGTGGGACGACTGGCCACATTCCGACTGACGCCAGTGCGTTCGCAATGCGGTCTCGCTTCTCTGCCAGCACAACAGACAGTTTACGGAATAAGCAGTCCTTGGTGTTCATGTCGGGAAGGATCTCCTCAATGGTCTGGGCGAGGGCCTCCTGCAGAGGCGTGCAAAACGCGTAGGTGGTGTTCTGCTGAATCAACTGCATCGCATTGATGAATGGCGCCGGTCCAATCGTCCACCCGATCTTCCAACCCGTCACACCGAACACCTTGCCGGCACTGCCGATGGTTATCGTGCGCTCCCACATGCCAGGGAAAGAGGCTACAATGGGTAAAATGTTGACTATCTAATGCTTCGCTTATAAAGACTCACACTACCACAGGTTTGGTGCCATGGCCAGAGAAATCTGAGAAATTTAATCGCAATTGGGTTTCTGTTGCCGTGTTCGCAACTACGTGCAAGCAATCAGTGTTCTAGAACGCAACTGTAAATTGAATGCCTTCAGTCTTATTTGTCAAAGAGAGCAGTCGACCTCAGTGGCCAGTATTTAAAGGTTCTTAAACTCTAGACACTCTCTATGGTAAAAAGGCAATCGGATCAGTCATCCCCACCGAAAGATGTTAGCAACGCACCAATCTTGTAGTGCTTGTGAGGTGGAAACACGAGGAACTCGTAGACTTCGTCAGATAAGCAAATGAGATTGTGGCGAATACAGATGTCGGCAATCTTCTTCATCTCCGCCTTTGTATACACCTTTCCCACTGGGTTGAATGGTGTGTTCATAAGAAGCATCTTCGTCTTCCTCGTGATCTTCAATTCCAGCTCCTCCCAATCGACCGTGAATTCGCTGCTATCGACACGGCACTTCGTATCCTG